CGACAGAGTTTTGTCTGAAGACCCAGTAAATCATTCATATGTAGTCTAAAAGCAGTATGACAAGCCAAAGCGTGTCCATTTGGTAGACGAAAATAGCCACACGCGCCCTGCGCCTGTCCTTGATCTTCGAGGTAACGAGGTTTCTCTCTTGAATCATTTTCTCTTCCCCTCTCTGCCATCTAGAGATATGGAGCGTGACTTTGTGTATTCATTGGACAATGTCCATGATTCATGATAAATAATATTTACGAAATAGGACTTCTGTACTACTTTTGCAAGCTAAATTTGTTTCGAAACGAAATTGCGGACATATCACAAGAGTGATGGCATGGTTAAAAAGAGCTCAATGTGTGTAAGTGACAGGACAGAAGAAGTGCAATTAAGAGTACTCACATACATATCTCACATTTTCACGATTTTCATGCAGTGGTCAACGTTTCGATCTTCTCTATCACCACCATGCGCCGCGCCTTTTTTTTGCTCGCCCTGGGCATCACACTTGTCATGACTGCCGGTCAGGATTTGTTCACCCTCAAGAACGTCAAGGTGATTGATAAGTCCAAGACAGCGAGGGATCAGTGGAGCATGAAGGGCAATCTAGATGACCCGACGATGACTGTTGTACCTTTGATCGGCCAGGAAGGTCTTACCGTGGAGTTGCAGGACATGGCCCTCGCCACGCTTGAGAGCACGGCTTTCGCGGCCAGCGATTGCAAGTTGCGTCGAAACGGACGAGGCGTCAGCTGTAAGACGAGGGGTGCTCGGGTGTCCATTAAAATGTCCAGGCGTCCCAAGGGTGCCAATGTCCAGAACAGCAATTACAACTCGACTGGCGGGTACTACAGTGCGTCAGGAATGTTCCGCCGATTGCAGTTCCTGCAGGACCCTATTGTGTTCCCCCTAACCGTGGTATTGAATGTGCCCAGCATACCTTTCCCACCATCTGCCATGGTCTCCTCATGCTCTGAGAAGATCAAGGGTGCTGGGAGGACCACCAGGATCACGTGCACGCCCGGGCCTACTCCTGTTACACCGGCCCCTACCACCGCTTAATTAATAGGAAGTGTGGAACCGGCAAGACATGCTGGTCCTCAGCTGACTAGGGGCTTAATTTTAATATCACCGGGTAGCTAGTTCTGCCGTCTGCTCGGTAATGTCTGTGTAAGGAGTGATTTCAATTAGAGGTGTCCCGCTGTCTGTGTGTTTTTTGTGTGTGAGTGTGTTCCTGTACTATTTTAGTGTCTGTCAGTTTCCTTCCCCTGGACATGATCCTCGCCTTCTTGCCGTCTGCGATAGCAATTTAGCGAGAAGCCTATGAGTGCCTACCAGTGTTGACTTCAATACGAGCACCTGTTTTCCATGTTCTAGCGAAGACTTGCAGGGTTCATTGTAAGCCGTCGCGCATGTCTGACTGGTCTACACTTAAGTATGATTTTTGGCTTCCCTCCTGCCTCCTAGTTGAATTCAAGAAGACATGTACTTGCATGATAATAAGAATGGGAAAAAGAAAGTTCCTTGTGGAAGGTATGCAGGTCTTTAATTTTGCCTCTAAATGTCGAGTGTCCATTGCTTATGAATCGCGATTTCCTGGAAACGTCCCTAGCTCATCTTGAGTCGTCCGAATATATTCTTTGATTATCCCAAACTGCCATGCACAATAATGATGCAGGAGCTGAGATGCCTTCATACAGGTTTTCTGTTCGCATATCTGTTTGTTTGCCGAATAAGGTGTCATCTTTCTTACTCCTAGACGAATTTGGAGGATCGCATACTTCTGTATGTAGACATAATAAAGGGAGAAAGAAAGTAATTTGTACGGTATGTGGGTATTTATATTTTCCTTTAATGTTGGTTGTAAACTTTTCGCATGTTTTTGAAGATTTCCTACGCAGGTAATCCTTCTTTGAAAGGCAATGAGTACGCGTAGTTTCTTTTCAAATTGGACTATCAGGCTGTGATAAGGTCTTTCAAAACATATATACGATGAACAATTGCTTATCCGGAATTGGAAACAAAAAAATATTTCCGACCAGAGAGGTTGTTGGAAGTCCGATTGGTCATACGAAGGTTCGATATCATATATGCTTGATTATTTGAGATAGCGGTAATCAATTAAAACCAAATAGTCCTTGAGGTCCAAAATCTAAGTAAACAACAAGATACGTACGTCTAAGAGAACTCATTGTAAATTATAGGTCAGCCAATTCGATAGGCACCTGTATTAGAAATCAGAAATTTCTGTGCGTGTGGTTTTCCTCTCATATTTTTCTTAAACGGTTATCATATTTGATCATCCTCGGCGAACTGAGCTAGTGCTACGCTTAACTTGTGCATAGGCATGCCCATTACAGTGAAGTAGCAGCCTTCAATGCCTCGAACCACTTGACCCCCGAGGCCCTGAATTCCGTAGCCTCCTGCTTTGTCCATCGGCTCCCCAGAGCTATACGGAGGGATGTAGTGTGCAAAATACAAGGGATGTTGAAGACGTGAAAGGAAAGTACCAGGCAATAACGGCTGAGCAATTTTTGGCTACGAGGGAAAAATCAGAGCAATACAAAGTTATCGGCCTTTCCAATCTTCCCCCTCAACAACCTCTTCAGGGCTCCATATGTCTTCGACATCAGTGCGGTAGCACACTAGAGGGTCCATCCCAAGAGACGAGGGTTTGTAACGCACCGAATATAATTCCAGATCTCTTCTTCACTCAACGGAGCAAAGTCCACGCGGGCAGTCTCACAAAAGGATACAACAGGCAAGGGAATGCCATCTCCACTTTTGGGGCCCTTAGAGCTATATATTGCCACACCAGAATGTACGAGATGCGTTCTTCCAGATAACGACGACAGCATGGCATAAGCGTGCTGTGCGTCCTCAGGTTTTTCAAGTATTATTCCATCGCGGTCCACGCTGACGGGTGTATAATCAATGGAATGACAAGGATGAAAATATGACGTCGAGAATAAATACTTTGTAGCGGAAGATCCTGTTGTACACCCCTCGTAAGATCCCCAAAAATTACGTACATTGTATCGGAGCCGATGACTATTGTGGTCTTTTTTCCCGCGTCCCTCTGTCCCCCCACCTTCCCTACATCCCCAGAACTCGAGCCTCCGAACAGTTTGGTAGCTACTTCTTGCGCCTTGCATTCAGCGTTCTTCTGCGCGTAGTCTGCCGGGTTGATAAAGTCTATTGGATAGGAAAGAGCCCCAACATTGGTGTAGATAAGCTGATATGAGACCGGAAAGCCGTGAACGTTGGGCAGAACGATACACAATGCACATGTGGATGAACCTGTCTCGCTCTGCCTACTGATACTTTAGACACCATTTACACTGGAAGTTAAGTGTTGCATTTTAGAGACCACCTCCGCGACGCTTACTTCTCTTATCCAGGTCCTCCGGAAAATCACTCGGCAAGACTACAAAATCTTTCGAGTCAAAGCCCATGAGCTGCAAAATCTCCTGCCTGCGAGGGCTCTTCGAAGCGAGAATCAAGTTGACCTTGGTCTTGAAAATGGACAAGTAGGGGAGGAGGGTGGAAGAAGTGCGCGAGGGAGCAGCGGCTGACATGGCCAAAGGCGATATAATGAGACGAAAGCGAGAAATTGGGCACCAAAAATGAAATGCCACGAATGAAGGGCGCCAAGTCAGGCAAGTTTCGGCGTTGACCAAAGGAAAAATGCTGAACAAAGCGAGGGCTCGCATGAAGCGAAATTGCCTGAATGCAACAAGGTGAAGGAGGGCGCTTTCGGTCAGTCACTAGCCCGTGGCAGAGCTGGAAGCCCCTTATAGATATTGTATTTTGGAAGGAACGGGAGATTGTAAGTTCGAGTGGATGTAGAGGAGGACATGAAGGATTCAAGTGGCGGCATGTTGACTCTCAGTTGATAGATCAACTTGATAGTCTTAAGTGCTCGCTTGTCCGTTCGCCGCAGGCTTCTACCGGTAGATAAAGTAAATTGCATCCTGACACCAGCGTTTCACTTTCAAACTTACGGACGGGTAATGGATACGATACTTAAATTGATACTTTTTCAGGGAAACCATCGTTGTACTCCAATGATTTGAATTACGTCAAATTGGTTGCTTTCCTCTGTCTGACTGAAAGATCTGATCTTCTGTCGTCGACCCTGTAGTTGAATTGTACTAAAATTTTCGCCTCATGCAAATTTCTTGCACGTCCACAGTACTTGCCTTACAAGAACGTGGCATGCGCCATGTGATGGCGCTTCTCCAGCATGTCAAGTTGTCAACGTCAGCATATTTTCATCCGAAGTGGGAGGTTGTGAGAAACATCAGTAGCACTGCTTCTTCACACGCCTCCTCTTCCATATCCAGCGGTAGCAGCAGCGTCGATCCAACCATTATTATAAAGAAGCAATTTTTCTTGCAAGGTGTGTTCATGAATCAATGGTGGAGTTTGTCGCCCTTGTGGCCTTGTTTTTCACGCAGTGCCCTTGGTGTCTTACCGCCCACCCCGTCAACCCTTTTGATACACTTGCAAACAGTTCATCCCGACTTCTTTCAGCAGCATCCCCGTGAGCAAAATATTAACAGTGAAAATCTCAAGGTCCTGAACAATTTTTTTGAGACTTCGTCGCAGCGAAGTTCCAGCCTTGCCTCAACTATCAGCCCTCCCTTCGCCGGCATTGGGGCAAGCCCACGTGACTTGGTATTTTACGTCAAGACCCGCGCTTTACCACCGCGCACGTCTTCCACGCCAAATTCCATCTCGCTTCCCTCCAGAGTGGTGGTGCCATTAAATGACCGGGTCTTTCATTCCCTCCACGAGATCCTTTCCCGTCACTGTGAATTGGGAAGCTCCTTGCCTTCTCCCTCGCCCTCCCCAGCGCCTGCGGGGCCCGACCACCGGTCAAGTATCTGGGATCATATTCACGAGCAAGCACACGATGATTGGAGGTGGGCTTGGCGTCGGCCATGTGCTGAAGATGAAGATGAGGGCTGGGCCCCTTTTCTGGACAGATTTGTGGCCCATCTGCAGCGGAGAGAGACCAAGCGGGGGGGAGGGCAAAAAGGCAGGAGAGGGGACGGATTAGGGAAATTACAGGACCGAAAGGAAGCGGCCGAGCACATGGAGGCAACCGGCGCCCGTATTTGCGCGAAATGGGGCTTCGAGAGTGTCCAGCTGCACAGGTAAGGATGCCTTCAAGATAGGGGCTTGCTATAAACCTACGCGCAGAACGCTTACTGGGGGCTTAAAACCTTGTGGTAGTCAGTCTCTTTTCTATGTTTTATCTTTGAAAGGTATGGAGGTTCAACGCGGGCCTGGGGCCAATTGTGATAACGGGCTGTGTTTACAGACTACTAGGCACATACCCTTCACACGGATAGTTCTATTCACCCAGAATTCTACCCCACTTTCTTTCCTCCATCTACTATGTGCAGCGACTGGGCCGCAGAGCACCTAGCCTTGACGCTTTGGCGCCTGGAGGCAGCCCTGGAGGAGTACGGGGACGACGCCCTCAGGGTGACCCGCTTTGCAGGCTTTGACCTCGTCCTCACCCCCTCCCGCTCTCCCTCCCTCTCTGGGGGCCATCCGCACCTCCAGAGCTTCGGAGAAGAGGGGAATGTCAAAGCGGCAGCCAAAGAGGGGCGGCTGGATCTGTCCCCATCGGATACGCCCCTACATTGGATCAAGCTCCTGCGTCAGGTCGGGGTTCAGGACGTGTGGGAGGCACAGGGGTGGCGGAAGGAAGAAGCAAAACTGGTGGCCGCCTTCCAGTCGTATGTACTGCCGGATGCACACCTTGAAAGAGGGCGCACCTGCTCCCGCAGCCAGTACATTGCCTGGTTGCAGTCCTTGGGCGGAGGGGGTGAGAGCGGCCTGGGAGGTAGAAAAGAGAGCATGGAGCTACTACGACCCTGGGAGCACCTGCGGATGCGTGTGGAATCGGACATCCGTCCAAGCGTTTTAGAATGCGGAGTTTTGCAAGTGGATCATGCCCGTCTCCCCTCGAAACGCGCGGTTCTCGAGCTGGCCGCACGTTTGGGGCCGGCGGCAGCCGAGGCCCGGGCCACTTTTGAGTCTGAGAGCAGGCTGCTTAGAGAGGTAGAGGCGGTCTGTGTCTCCGCGGCGGGGCTGGGGCTTAAGGGCGTGCGGAAGGAGTTGGGAGTGAGCACTATGGAAATGATGGGGTGTCTGGAGAGGCTGTTGGCCTTGCCCGTCGGGGATCGGACGAGGGAAGGGTTGAAGGGACTGGATGTGGTTGTCGGCAAGACGTACGGAATAACCCGGGAGGGATCTGTGCTGCTGCCCTGGAACTGGGTGACAAGAGGCGAAACCCGGTGGGAGAGAAGCTGCTAGAAGATAGTGTGCATAATGTGATCCCACAGTTTGTAATTGCTAGCGCGGAAAAGGAAATGCTGTTCGATCAGAGATGATTTCCGGGCAGTGGTCAATACTTGGAGCACTTCTTTATTATATTTCTTGGAAAAACATTTAAAAAATCCTTTATTTGTCTCCAAAACATTTCTCGAAATTGTCTGCTGTTAACAATCTACCTACTTGGCATCAATCTATTATCTTCCCGACTGGTGCGGTTAATTCACGGGTTCGACATCCCTAAAATCTCCACCTCTTCAAGACCACTGTTTTCATCAACGGCTATTTCCTCCATGACGGGAGGATCGAGCACCTCAGCTGCCGATGCCGCAACCGCCGCGTCCCATCTCTCTTGCACCGCTTTGGTACCACGTCCTGTCCAGGCGGCCACCATCTCAGCGCTCACGGCTGGTTGGTCCAGTGGGCACATGTGCCCGCTGTCAAACATCCGCAAGAAGGTGAAACCCTCCGCAGACCGCACCAATCCTCCTTCGATACCGCCCTCCGTCATCCAGGCGCTCCTGTTCGTTGCCTGGAAGGCTTTCTGCCCGCTCCACACCAGAGCGTCACTCCAAGCCTCTATCCCCAGGTAATTGCAAATAAAATCGGCGTCGCCCGCATAATTTAAAACCTGTGATGATTAGCAAAAAGAAGAAAAAGGCGTTATATTCGCACGTCTCTTCACTGTGTGACAGGAAGCCACATCCTTCTTCCACGATATATTGTACTTAGAAGTTCAACTTTACCTCTTCACTTGAAGCCCCCCCCTCTTTCAATCAATCCATCTGACATATCTTTGTTTCTTGCACTTCATTATGCCCACAATTTCCCTAACCCCGACTTCCTCGGTTGCGTGCATTACCTTGACTCCGGATTCAAGCAACGGGATGAGAAGTTTGTCGTAGCTCCGCATCATGTCTCCCGAGAACTGCAAATTGACCTTGTCGCTACAGACTTTCCACCTGGAATTGTCCTTGAACCCTCCTGGAAATGAAGCGCGTAAAGGTTAGTATCAGTCGGAGGCCTCTCAAGGGCTTAAGCCGTATGTGCAAGTTTTTGCTTTATACAGTTATTCACTCATCTTTTGGAGAGAATCAGCAAATTAAAAGATAAAAGTAAGAAAGGACACATAGAATAAGGGGTTGTGGTATAAGGCATGATCGTTTCATCCGAATGGGCAACCAATGAAGATCTCTGGGGAGAGGTGTGGTGAGGGACGGGACATACTTTTGCGAACGTGCAGGGCCTCCTGGACGCTCGGCGTGTTCAGCCATTTCTCGACGGGTTGGAAGTCGTAGCAAAGGGGGGGAGTCGTGCAATTCTTGCGGATGTCATAGACGTTCACCTCCCCTGTACAGGAAAGATATATGGAAAAGGCGAGGAAAGCACGAGTAAGAAACAAGAGCAAGCATTAACGACCGTATGAGCTTTGTTAGAATGATCAAAGCAGTCCGCCTGGTTGTGGTTGCGTTGTTAGCCCCTGAAGACAAGCGTCCCTCACTTGTAGACTACAAGATGGCGGTGGCAAAGGGTCATTTAGGACCCTACTTCCCACCCATACTTTACCCAGAGGAAAGTGTTTTAAGATGTGTTGTGTACAGAAAAGCCATGCAAGCCGACATGCCGTCTCTCCACCCCAGCTCTGGCACGACTTTATGAGAGAGACGCATTGAGGGACGGCTGAAGAGAGGAAAGGGGGGGGGAAATAAATGTACGTTGGTGTCCACTCATAGCTCAGCGAGCCATTTAGATTTTCTGTCAAATACCTGAATCTACGACCTCCACATTTTCTGCCGAAATCAGATTGATGCCGTAGCTATTACTCACAGCGTAGTCTGCGTAGTACTGGTATTGAAGCTCTGGATCTGAAAAGAAAGGAAAATAAGGTCTTAAGTACAGACAGAACCCTGAAAACCAACAGGAAAAATTTTGTGGATACCGCTGTAACAACATTACAAACTCAAGGCAGTATTCGTACACTGAGATAGGTCGAGCACTCAAGATTTCTTGGCTTCATCCCCAGCAATGTTCTCTCCCGAGCCTCTCTTGAATTTACCAGTCATCCCGTTCCCGATGCCGAGCCCCTGCAGGTTGATTGGGATCGCTTGTCCGCTGTTTTGGATGTTTGCGACGAAGATTTTATGGGCCACCGCGGGGACGAAATGCCCACCTGTATAGACGGCGTTCGAGGACGAGGAGAGGAACGGTAAGATGGTGGAAACCATGGGCAAAGTCACAAAGCCAGAGCCGCCTATGGATCCGACATGATAGCATATGGATACGCGTACCATAGCTCTCTCCAAAGACGTAGAACTCATTCTTTATGTACTGCGGATTAGCGGTCAGGAATGACTGGAGAAAATGATAAAGGTCTTCCGCTACCTCGTCCTCCGTATCTGTGACCTTGTCTCCCGGACCGTCGTAGGAAAACCCCACCCCAGCAGGTTGATCGATCCAAAGCATGTTTGCCTGGCGAATGCGATGAATTTGAGGGAGAGGTTGAGAGAGGAACGGATCTTGAAAGAAGGGTATGGAGTTTAGGCCTTAGGCATGGAAATTTTCATCCTCTTGATACTCCTCCAGGCGTCTTCGCATTACATGCTTTGTCCAGGAATAAGGATTCAATGTGGTGTTCTTCCCGTCGTCGTTTACGGTGCATGGCCCATTTTCGTACAAGAGGGCAAGGATGGAAGAGCAGCCTGTGGGATCGAGCATGAAAAGTATGCGTGAGGCCCACAAAAGAAATGAGTGAGGCGTCAGAGATCCGTGACCTCGTACCTGGTCCACCTGTAAGCCATATGATCAAAGGATCTGTCTCCGGGGTCGCTCTGGACTCGAAAAACCAGTAAAAGTCTACATATATGATTACAAGAAAAAAATAAGATCCCGTGAGGATGATCTCAAATCAGCTTTCCTTGCGTGGATCGTTTTCAATGGAAGTGTATGATGGTCATCTCATGAATTTCTCGTCTTCTCCCTTTGCGATCCATTACACCTCGCAAGCCCCATCCTGCGCGCCCTTAAAATCGACGTACAATTTTTGTCCTTACTCCCCGAAATTTTGAAGTAACCAGCTTGAGAGTTGACATCTGGATCGCACAACTTTGTCTCAACTGTAGAAATGTCGACAACGCAGAAACGAATGCCAGAAAGAGCGTTCTCGACTATATATATTGACTGGTCCATGATTTTTCTCAACATCCTCATTGAGGTTTCGTCTCATTTTGCCCACCGCATTACATCCAAAACTTCCCCAGTTTAAAATGTAGTATCTGAAAACAGTTCATGTATCATATTCTTTTCAGTTTTGGGACCAAGCCCTACTCACTTACCGTCCTGTCCAGCCAATTCCCCTATAAAAGCCTTGTCTTCCCACACCCAACCCCTAGTAGGGAAAAAAGCTTGCCAAGGCCTCCCATTCCTCTCCATAGCAGCAGAAGAAATCACGACTGAAGCCCTCAGAAGCAGAAAAATATGAATAAATGGTCCCATGCAGAAACACGCGTCTGGTCTACCATTGAAACTCACGCCACGGCCACAAAGGGCGCAGGACGGGTGGGGATGGGCGCAGTATCCCCTCCTGCCAGTGAGCTGTCACTTTCTTACTTCCCGAGTGTCAGAGGCGCCTGTAATGAGCAAAATACGATTTGAATTCATGAACAAATTTTTATAAGGGTCATATCACTATTTACACGGTGCGTGGTGCAAGTATCCGTCCACTCTGCAGGACTTTCCGTTAAATATGCCGCTCGAGCGCTTGGAATGCCTCCCCCGGGCGGATCGGAGAGCCAGTCTTTGGCCGGAGAAGGATCCGGCGGAAAAAAATCAGACTGGCACGAGGAAAGATCTATCTTCCATACAACAATGAAGAGTGGCTTTTGGGGGCATGACATCACTTTGTCGCCGTCCTTTCGATTCTTTGTTATACAACTTTCCTTTAAACATCCAAGTTCAAGGAGGAGGCGGCCGTCCGCTTGTCTCAAGATTTGGCGATGTCGTCTTGCTTCTTACTCGATTCCTGCCTCGGAGGCCTAATTTCTTTGTTTTAACATTGTAATTCTCCAATAAATGTTCAGACAAACGCTTGCTGGTGCGTGAAGGTGTTTGCCAGAGCAAGGGCAGCTTTGGGCTGTGACAAATGTGGAAAAGGTGGTGTAAAATTATGAGGGACGGTTTACTGGACTCGGATAATTATGCCGACAGACGGACTTCGCTTCTGTCTTTCCGACCTTCCTCCCCAGGGTATGTTTACCTGATCCATAGGTACCATGTGACCGCTTCAATGCATGCATTTGTGTTTTTATGCGTGGAAATTGACGGGACGAAGTATTATTGGTGAGACGGAACGTAAACACAAGCGACGGGAACGTATCATATCAGCGTCCACCGTTATAGGGTCTTTGCATCCCGTAGACATGTGCAGGTGGAAGTCACTTATCCAAGCTCGTATACATCAAAACTTACGCGCCGTACACCCGCAGGAAAGTAAAGCCCTTGGCCGTGCGCACCATCCCCGCCTCCACACCATCGCTAAGCCTCCACGGCATGTCTTCTGCTACGAGGAATTCATCTTGCCCTGTCCATTCCAAGGCTCGCGTCCATGCTTCGTTGCCATACCTTCGTGGAAAGGGAATTAAAAAAAACACAGAGAAGCGCGTGAGTATGGTTGAATTATTGTTAATTAGGATGTGGCTTGCGGCCTTCACGTTTCCGCCGCCCCTTCATCAAATCTCCCGTCTTCGGTATCCCATCAAAGTGACCGTACCAGTTGCAGATGAAGTCAGCGTCGCCAGCATAGATAAGAACGGCCACTCCACTATCCACGAGGGGCACGAGCTTGTCTTGCATGTTCTGAGTCGAGTAAGAAGGGAGAAGATACAGGATAATAAATGCATAAGCGAGGACTACATTACGGAGACGGTCGCGGGTCTCAGGGGGAGAGCGAAACGAAAGAAGAGAGTGTGGTTTGAGAAAAAGGGCTTAGCTATCATGACCAAGGAAATATGGAGAATCGAGGCCATAAAATACATGGAGGATATCTCCGGGTAAGCCGCCGCACGATAGAATGGGCATAAGGGAGGAAAATAGAATATTTGTGGGCGAAACAAAAGATCGATGGAAGAAAGAATGACAAATGCCCAAAATAAATGCACTGGGATTGAGCAGACCTTACCTTCATGAAATCAGCGCGGAAATCCTTGTTTACCTGTATCGTGGCGTCCAGACGAGACGAAAGAAAAGCTCTATGACTCTTCTTGCCAGACGGTCTCAACCTCATCGCCGTAAGGCTTCTGACTCGAAAAAATCTCATCGGAGGGAATGCAAATCTATTCTACAAACAATACATCTATTGTTTGGAATGAGCAGCCCGTCTTACCTCCATATTGCAGCTCTGCCATTCTCCGGCTTTGGGAGAAACGCCCAGGGCACAGAGAACCTGAGCAAGAGCCAAAATAGTTGTGAAGTTTCGTTTGCATCATTTATTGATGCTTTATTTTCATCGTCCATCCTTCCATGTATGCTCAACTCCAAAACAAATATCATTCCCATGGACGATTACGACTCAAATACTACTGGATATATAGTGTTTCTAGCTCCCCACAGATCTCTTGCAGTCGAGCCATATGTAGAGCGCTACAACTTACCTCAGGGTTCTGGAGGAAAGTCTCGACGCGACTGAAATCGTAGCACAGCCCCGGCACTTCACAAGGGATTCGAATGTCATACACATTCAAACCTAGGGGGCAGAGAGAGGCATACAAGGAGGATGAGGGTATACAAAGGCTTGAAAGAAGGGGCAAAGGACACACAAGACTGAGAGGAGCCGGAGAGCAGCTAGTTTGTGCAGGCTTCTTACAGCGGCTCTACAGAACTTGCTCTTCATCCTGAACTCTCCTTCCTCTTCTCTCCGGCCCTCTTTTTCTCTTCCCTTCCTTGCAATTCCATAGAGTCACGTACCAGTTTCGACGTACTTGCTCTCGATCGCTGCGTTGCAGTAGACTTGGGCGACAGAGCAGGCAAAGTCCTCTCCTCCATTATGCTGGCACCTGCAATCGACGGGGGAGGGAAAGAGGAAGTCATATGGAGAAGCAGCAGAGAGTTGGGAAAAATAGTCGTCTCTACCCACAGAGAGGATCGTTGTATGATTTTGGCGGCAACGATATTCTTTGGAGCCGCAATGGGAGCGCGTTGAGGAGTGGGGGGGATAAGGCGGGGACGGACGTACCGGTGAATGAGGTGGAGGCAAGTGGGCACGGCGTCCTGCATGTCGTTAAATGTTTCCTCGTCTACAGCCTGGGGAGTCACAGGCCGACCAATAAATAGAACGCCGAAATTAAAGAGGGCATTTTGTGGCACTTCTTTTTGCATAGCGATAACTGGGCTCTGTAGGCACATGATTTTCCTTTCTCCCATCTTTTTACCTGAATGCCGTATGAGTTGTTGTAGCTCATCTGTGGGTAATAAGCATACTGGATCTCGGGATCAGTCAGCCCGTTTCCGATGCCGATACCCTATAGGAATACAGTACAGAGGGAAAGAAGCAAAGGAAGCATGAGCGATGTGTGGATAGAAAAGCGCGTTTGGTCGTGCTTCTGCCTGATTGACCACGAAGAGGAAGCGGAGCAAGTGGCTGCCGACAAGACAGGAAAGGCGGATGCACTACGAGAAAACACGCGGGCCTTCATCCATTCCGATCTGTTACATCTTCTTTTTCAAACTCGAAAGATTATATTTTAAAAAAATCCTTACGAGACAAAATCAGAGACACAGACATATGCAAAGGTCCTCGCCTAAGGTACCTGCAAGTTGATATAGACGTCGCCCTGAACCAGATCCTGGTTGCCTTCCCAAACACGATGCCCGGCTGCCGGTGCGTAATGCCCTATGATATAATAAAGAGGAACCGAATAAGCTCAATAATGATGCAAGATCATGCCGAGACTATCAGCCCTGAGACCCTCGCGACCCCTTCCCCGCCCTAGACTCCAGCTTCCCCATTCACTCACCCCCGTAGCTCTCCCCAAAAATGAAGAAAGCCAGCTCTTGATACTTCTCATTCGCCTTAAAAAAGGCTTGAAGGAACTGGTACAGGTCTTCCCCTACCCCCTCCTCTCCGTCCACGTAGTCAGCCCTTTCCCCATAGCTGAAGCCGACTCCTGAAAAAAGACCGCGGGGGAGGCATTGCTTTATAATAATAATAGAATCATGACAATAATAGCAACAATTGTACGCATCATATCCGCATAATTCCTCTGTCTTCCACGCAATCGACCCCCAGCTGCCCTCCCGACCACCCCTCCTCTCTTCCTTTCTGCCCTCCCTGCGCACCGACGGGCTGATCGATCCAAAGAATGTTGGCATTGCTGTTCCAACTGTCCGGGTTCAAAACCGTTCCGTTGCCCCATTCGTTCACATAACACGGTCCATTTTCCACAAAGAGGGCGAGGATGGAGGAGCAGCCCTGTACAAGAAAGCAAGCACACGAACGAGGAGGATTTCGAGATTGCACTTGAGCTGCCTGGTGGTTGATAAGTCAAGGCCGTTCCCTCCCCTGACTGTTGTTCATGAGCATACCCTTAAAACGACCCCATAACAGTCCCTCAATCTACACCAGTCCCCACCCCCCTCCCACCCACCGGTCCCCCCGTCAGCCACACGATCAGCGGGTCCGAGCGGGGGTCGGCCCGGCTCTCGAAGAGCCAGTAAAAGTCTACAGGGAGGGGGCACGAGGATTGTGACGGACAGGAAAATAATCAGTAACTTATCTCGCCAGACATGCGCATTTTTCCTTTCTCGTTCTCCTTTTCCCTTCCTCGCGTCACCCTAAGACGTACAGGCGGCTTCCCTGGTGCCTGTGATGTTGAAATATCCCGAGACGCTCTCCACGGATGGATCGCATAGCTCGCTCGAGACTGCGGGGTTGGAGGAAAGAGATAAAGGATGGAAATATGTTCTGCATGAGGGTACCTCTGGTGCATGTACAATGACGGACAAGAGGATGCAAATAATGAGTCAGATGCATGTCTAGCACTCCTACCGGCATTAGACGAGAGCACTCCCTGATAATGGTGCCCCCCTGGCGTGCTCCACGCGTGCGTCGTCGTTTTAACAGTGCTAGCCCCGGGGATAGTGGCCGAGTCTGTATAATTTGTGCGAGCGATGCATTATTGTACGTCGGACTATAGAAAGACAAGTGTGCGCTTTTTGAGTTACAGACCTGTCTGCGTCGAAAACCCAAGGAGGGCCAATAACGCCACGCGTACTGCAGCGGATAAAAACATGACGTTCAAATCGATGTTGCTTATGTATGCCTGTAATTGTGGAGGAGCGGATGCGAAATTAAAAATTACGCAGCGTCAAACATCATGTTGCCTGTTCTTTTTAAAAACATATGCTATTGTTAGCAGAAGACGGTCATCCTAGTGAAGCTGCTTTCTATATCCAAACCAGCGTCAATCTCCAATGACATAAATAGTACCTCTTTTTCTTTGAGTTAAGGACGAGCCCGAGCGCAAAAGCACGCGAAAGTCGGCGGTGGTATGCGCCGAGTCCTTGAGCCCGCGAGTGCACTAAAATGGTCCGCTCGCTTCATGGACTGGACGCAGTCGGCGATGGAGGACTCCGAAGGCGGACAGCTAGGAACGCTACGATCAAGGATGCGCGGCATGCATGTGAAAAATACGTAAAAACTAATGTTGCGATTTATCTGTGGGGAATTTGTTTATCTGACATTGTATTCATCACAATTTTTCTAAAGCCGTGTAAAATGTTGCGTGCCAGTCGCTTTTTGGAAATTATTTAACCTCCCCTGAAATTAATTTCATGTGTGCCGTGTTTGCCGCGCACCATATGCTTTTGCAACGCAAGAGGTACTGCGTCACCACTTTCGAACACGATAGTAGATTTTGACATTCGACGATGGGCCACGTCACTGCGGGGCAAAAAGTTGGTCGTTGAGTGATTTTTATTTCCCAACTTATAAGCATAACTCCGTTTACATTACATAGATGTTGGACAACACATTTGAGCATGAGTTGCACAAAATTACACACCCAGCGACCAGAGACTCGCTCAACTCTACAGCTTCACGTCCCAGTTGCCTTCCTCGGCTGCGCGTCAGTTGCTGGTCTGTACCAAGCAAGGCAACGTCAGATCCAACACCCACTGGCCTGTACAACAATGACTACAGTGAAAATACCACATTCTTTCCCTTCAATTTTTCTTCAATCAACCTTTCTAGCTTTGGATGGGGGAATAATGGGTGCTATGATTCTGATGACGATGAAGATATTTCTGAGTATTTACTGGAGGAAGTCAATGGAGACTTTCCAAGGGCTCGGAGACGACATTGCGCCCCACTTCGATGGCGTACTATTCACCAGATCGATCGTATTCTCGACAGAGGGATGACTCCAAGTCCATTGGAGTTCGGACATGTACTGGGATTGTGGCCTCGCTGGCTGCAGGGGCGAACTATCGACGGAGACCTGGTGATGTATGAGGAGCTTGGAAAAGTTACTGGGGCAAAGTTGAGGGCAGCGCGCCTGAGTCCAGCAGTCTTGGCCCGTCATATGGCGCTAATATGTGAGTATATCATCCGCTGTGTAGACATATACGAGGCCGCTACGGACAATTGCAAAGATAAACATCTCGAAGATAGTATCGGAACGCAGCATATTGATGACGAATCAGAGAAGCAGGGGCCGACACATGACGTGAAGCACGTCAAAATTTACTCTCAAGCAGGCCGAAACAACTGGCATGACGCCTACACTGAATTTCCTCCCCGACCGCGCCTGACCCTGATAATTTCGATGGCAGGTATATCATCGGCTTCTTTCTTCGCCGACATGGCCGTCCGCAGAGCTCTGCAGGTATGGGGGCACATCCTGGCGGCCCATTATCCAGGACTCGTGCACCGGATCCTCCTGGTCAACGTGCCGGCGTGGTTATCACGTGCCCCAATGAGTCTTTTCAAGCCGTTGGGTCTTTTCCCACAGGTGTGGAAGAAGAAGATGTGGCTCGTGCTCCCTTACGGATCCAAGAACACACCGAAGCGCTTAGAGGGTAGCCATCGGGCCCTTCCAGCCTGGACGGGACCCTCACGTTCCACCCGTGTCCTGCATGGTCTCGATGAGATTATCGACCCCCGAGTCCTCTCTGCGGAAGTGTGTCCGGGGGATGGCTTGAACGAAGATGATCCCATAAATTCTCAGGAGTGGGGCCTGCTGCAGCACATCATTCATGCAAATCACAGACCGGAATGAGGAGGAAGATAAAAAGCGGAAGGATACTTTTGAAGATCAAAGGAATAGAAGAAGAAATATTGGAAGAAACAGAAGTACGCTTAAACTTAGGGTGTGCAGTGTGAACAAGTCCGGGCGCGAAGTGTTTGTAGGAGAGAAAGCATGTGGAGAGAACCTCATAAATGGGAATTAAAATGAGCGAAGATAAAGGAACCAAGAAGGCCAAATATGTGAAAAGGGTATCACGTAGTGTACGCGTGGGGCATAGGTGAGATAGAACATCCATACATGAGCGTAGCTTTGCTTGAGGCGACAGTAGTGTACCGACAAATATCGACAATGACAGTGAAAACACAGTGCCCCCGTGCCAACACCAGGTACTGAAAAGATAGCGAAATGCTGACAACCAGATCAGGGATTTTTTCCACAGTTTTGGGAGTTAGATACACGTTTTACATTTTTACAACCAAAGCTATCCCTTCCCAACCTCTATTTGTACTCTACGCTTCATTTTGATCTCCCACTCTATCAGCCAAGCCTTCGTATTCCTTTATTTTTGTTGTTTGATCTCTACACAATCACCTTTGCCTGTTTTCTGAGCTCCTCCTTCTCCTTCATCTTTCGCATCCTCATCCTCCAAATCCTCCGTTTCCTTCTCTCCGTCCTCCTCCGCCTCTTTGTCCTCTTCCCTCCTTTCACTCCCCGCCTGGCTATTCAGGCGCTCCTTCGACCCTGCATTTCTCCCTCCAGCTATCTCTCCTTGCCGCCTGCGTCGCAGCTCCGCTGTGGCCGTCTGGTGACAAGCCACGCACAGGGTCCTAAAATTCTCCAAGCCTCGCAAGCCCCCTCCTTCCACGACTGGAAGGATGTGGTCGGCGTGCCAGAAAAGCCCGCTATTGAAAGGACGGCGAGGTCGCCGGGGGCGTGGCCTCGTTTGGGCCCCGTAGACGGTGGACGTGACCCAAGCTTTGCCGACGCCATCGCCGACCTGACACTTGCCTTGTTTCAGCCCTCGGACTTTCACCTTGCCCTCCAATATCGTGCCCGCCACTTTTTCGTCCACCACCGCCTGAATCCCTCCCAAAGCCTTTTCCCCCTTTCCTCCCCACCCAGCTGCCCAGCAGGTCCGCCGCACATGCAAGTAGAGGGCATGCGCGTCGATCGTACACAGGGCGCACCGTCCCTTGTCACGTACCAGCAGACATTTCCTCACGTAGGAGCCGCTCGTGCGAAGCCGGTGTTCATGCACGCAGGCGGGCGAGCAGAACGTATTGGCCTTCTTGGGGCATTCTTGCTGGCAGAGGCGGCAGAGGGCCCGTCCGTGGTCACCTCGGGCCAGGTCCGCTTTGTTGACTTTTCCCCGTCGGTCGCTGTAGCGATCCGTGCTGTGCGAAGGGAAGTTTGCCAGCCGCCGCGCACGCAGACAGGCATGGAGGCGGATAGCGAGTTGAGCTTTGGTTCGGCCCGTGGCAGGCACACCCAGGGCACGGAGATGGGCCCGGAGCTCGGCAGCGGGGCGGGTGGCCAGCTCCTCTGGGTTTTCCTCCCCGTTTTCCGCGTGGATGGACGGCGAATCTGGGTGCAGTCGAAGCGCAGCTGGGAGGGGTTGCCGTGAGGGGGAAAGGGGGGGGAGGAGGGGCTGGAGGTGGAAGACGAGGAGGAGATCGATATTGGAGAAGGAGGGCCCAAATAGTCAATGTCGTCCCCACACCCTAATGCCTTCCCTGCTCCCGACTGTTCGACACGCGTTTCCCCTCCATCGACACTGAGTTCTCGAGCTCTCCTGTTGGTTGTCCCACGCTTTATGGTCTCTGAGACCCCGCCTTCCCCCGGCCTCGGGTCCTCTACGCACATCTTCCCGCCTGACGTCACAGGCAAGGTGCTTTCCCCAAGATATGTATCTTGGGCACCATCACAGCCAGCACTTCTTCTCGTCCAAGAAGCGGGTGATATATCAACGTCACTGATCCTGCCATGCTCACTCTTGCGCCGCTTGCTGGCCCTTGTGTCGTACGGTGGAGAGGTCAAGTCGACCGGACTGAGTGAAAAGGCTTTGGGAGTTGCGTCTCCAATCCACACTGCGTCACCTAATCGGGCCCCCTTTTTCTCATCGTAATCTTCCTTTTCTTCACCCCCACTCTCGCGTTCTCCCTGATTCAGGGAGCATTCCGTTACATTGGTCGATGCTGTCCCTGCATCTTCGTGCAGTCTGTTGACAGGAACTCGCTCGCCTTGGAAAGGTCCCTCTGTTCGTGAACATGGTGCGGCGACCGCAAAGATGCATGGTGCTTTTGAGAAATCACCGTCTATCGATACCAATTTTGGGACATGGTTTTGAGTAAGAGCCTTCGCGGCGCAATCAGTTCCAGTCCCATTTCGCACTGCTGTGTTTCTGAGTCGTAACTGCTTCTGAGCCCTTGCGGTAACGCAGAAATTGCCTTCACCAGTTCCAGTAAGATCGATCAAGTCTTCATCCTCGCAGTCCTCCATTCCTCATACCACTTTTGTGTCAGGATGTATTGTAGTGGGATAGCGATACGGGCTGGTAAGATGGGTTAATCCAGCGACACATGAAGCAGTCCAACAGCGTTTTGGCGACATGCAGGATCTGACAGCCCGTGGCAAGTTCAGTCGCGTGCAAATTCCTGTCCTCAAGAGTCTCGCCAATGTTGTCTTTTTTTCCTGCGTATGACACAGGGAGCATTGAAAATATGGACGTCATCCATGTTGCCATTGCGCGTGGAGACGTTTCCCGTGTGCAGGCCTTGTGCGAGGCAGAGCCCGACCTCCTCTACCTCGACGATTGGCAGGCTCGGACCCCCTTGATCCTCAGCGTGCTAGCTGACAGCCTTCCCCTGGTGCGTTTTTTTGTTGAAGAGGTGGCGCCGGAGGCGCAAGCCACAGTGGACGAGCGCACTGCGCCTGATGGGAATACGGCCTTGTTTTACGCTTGTCGAGACGGACGGATTGAGATAGCTGAGTACTTGCTGAAGCGGGGTAAAGCAGATCCATTCCAAAAAAATAGATACAACACAACATTATTTATGATAGCTGCAGCCTCAGCCCCGTCTACATGTGCCGAAAACAAGGAGGGCAAGGGTCCTAGTGCAAGCGGTGTCATACTTTCTTTGCTTGAGGCCATCAATCGCCGTGGAGGAGGGGGACGGGAGGGACATCTGTACGATTGCTTGAATGCGTGTAACAGCAACAACAAGACAGCGTTGGCATTAGCATGCGAGCGAGGGGCACTGGACATCATCTCGGTCTTGATCGCCGCGGGGGCAAATCCCTACTTGTTGCCTGCGGGTGAAGAGGAAGTTTTCAAGTCAAGCACGGATGGCGACCCTTCCAAGGAAGAAATCCTCGTGTCCTGCATACAGGAGGCACGACGAGCCCCTGAACGAGTTTATTTCATGTCGAAAATTCGGTGTCTGGCAGACACGATGCATGCCTTGAGAAAATCCACAGAGGCGAAGGAGTCTTTGACGGCCGAAGCAATAGCCGAGGTCTCAGAATGTGATGGTGAGGAGGGACAGCAGGATGTTCATATCCAAAAAATAAAAACTCGGTATGATCAAGAGCTTCAACATTATCAAATGAAGAAATCCATGGCCATCGCCTCCGAGGTACTCAAGCGTCGAGTGGAGGGGAAGACGGAGATTCCACGCGTGCTATTGACCACGGAAGGGGACGAAAGGCTGCGAGAGGTGGCACGTCATGTGCTCATTGAAGGTGGATTGAAATTGGAGCTATTCGTAGAACTAATGGAAGGACTAGTCGTTCCTCAATGGTTCTATGACCACTTGTAGTGATGCAGTCCTCAACATTTGTACAAACTGGAAATATACCCATTCATGCTTTTATCCTGTCTTTGCATCGCGCCGGACTTATTCCTTTTAATTTTCTAAATCATTGAATGCTCACGGCTATCTATTTCAACCCAACAACCCAAAAGGATAATTTCCAACTTCTTTCAACCTTATTTCGTATTTTGAATTCTGTTGTCTTCATGGAATAACTCTCATCCTTCCCGGCCATCTTCAAAGCGCCAACCACTAAATTTTCTAGCCCCTGACAGCGGCTTGTTTAGGCTTCAATACAGCACGCTCCATAAAAACAGTACCCGCATAGCCTACCAGAAATCCCACTGTCAAATTAGCCCACGGGTACGCTTCCATCCACGATTGATTCGACCCACCACCCAGTCCTCCACTCCCATAAGTGGAAAATAAGCGGGAGTGGAATCCGGAATGGGTACAGCGCCGGTGCATCGTCGTAATAATATAACGGGAAAGCATGCTTTGATGGAGTGTCGCCCAACGACCTGTTTTCTTGCAAACTAAAACAAGAAGGAATCGAAAGATGTCAAAAAGACATATATGCCAGTCCTATAAGCAAAAGGATTCTCAACAGACCCAACAGACCGAACAGTCATAATTTCCTTAGTCCCGCATGATCACAAATACGATACAGAGGAGCAGTCCACATGCTTGTGCAATTCACGGTCTCGGAAAAACCTCACGAAGAAGAAGAAACTTACGTGCAGCATCACAAAATCCTTAGCGTATACAAATCACCGCATTACTGTCTATCTGTGGAAACACGAGATTTCAGACTTTTCTTCTCCTGAGGAAAAAAAAAGCGCCAGGTTATCCTTTTGGTAGCAGCTCGGAACGCGACGTACCCCTCGACGCCTCAACACGCCCCGCTGCGTGCAGGGACTCCTTTGGTCGCATTAATGTAACTCAGTCATTTTTCCAAACCGCGTCGAAACTTTCATGTGGACGTCACTTTTCTCATTTCATGTTTTACAGTGCATCTTGGAGCTTGTTGGTGAATCGTCGAGGATTAAATAATCATTAAGGCTCAAGAGCACCACTGAGGTGGTAGTCCTAGCTAGCTGGTAGTATCAGGCCAAGTGAAAGCTCAATTCATACGAGACCCGAACCCCACCCGGCACGTCAACGCATTTTCCACCAACGTTTTGCGCGTAGAGCATGCGCTCTCTGCCCACGTGCCTAGCTTCCTTCCTCTCAGCCGCTTTAATTACGACGATGCTTTCTCTCGTGCTCCTGACCGCAGCTCGACGCGGTACGACCGCGGCTGCCCTGAATAAACCTTCACGCACAACTGCCTTTTTCCCTACTATCGCGCGGTACTTCTACAACATTCCGCAACCGTCGTGTCCATTTCCTGTACATGGACCCCCTGGGACAACTTCCTCCTTCCAATCTCACCGGCGCCAGGGCAGGTTTCAGGTCCTAGCCTCCGTCAAGGTTCCTCAAGATGTAGCGCGAGGAAAAAGGTAAGGGCATAGAACTGCTCGTAAACGTGTTTAAAGAGAAGAATGTGGACAGTATGATGTAATGCGTCGCTAACATCAATGTGGTTCGTCGCTGCCATTGCCCTCCCAACAATAGTACATTGTCTACCTCCTCCCTGTCGGGGGTCTCACCAGCAGCACCAGCCATTGTAAGAGTCTTGGACGACGGGATCAAAAAGCCTGCACGAGACGACCGGCAGTACAGGATGATCTGGCTCAAGAACGGAATGCAGGTGGGAAAATTGGTGGAAGAAAAAACATGTCCGCAGAGACGCGACATATTGACAGAACACTTCCCAGGTACCCTGTCGTAACGAATATGTTTTCCTTTCTTATACCAATATCTAGGTCCTCCTTACCTCGGACCCAACGACGGACGTCGCTTCCGCTTCGATGAACATCCATGCGGGCCACTTCCAAGACCCGGAGGCCTTCGCCGGGCTGGCGCATTTCCACGAGCACATGTACGGCGCTTTGACGATGCCAATTACGACAATAATGATGGTGCTCTACCTCTCGCTTCTAGATGGACCATGAAAATTCGTTTTCCTCCGCAAAGCTATGGGATTGTACTCGATGAGCCACGTTTAAAGTATACGAGAGTATAAATCGGACGACCCTGCTCTGTTCATATCAGGGCATCCCTTCTCACTGCTCCCTTCTCCGGCCCCTATTTCCCCCTGATCTTTCTTCCTCTAGGCTCTTCTTGGGTACGGACCGCTACCCAAAGGAGGGGGAATACGAACAGTTTTTGAACCAGAACGGCGGGAGCAGTAACGCCTACACTGCTATGGAGGACACCAATTATTACTTCTCGGTGAGGCATGAGAGGAAGTTACTAGAAGGATAGGAAACGCACGCCGACGGCGGTGAACACCATGTGAGTCAGGTGGACGGTGTGCACTCACTCCTATGCCACCCTCTGGGATTTTCTTCCCTTGTTCTCTCGCCGTCCCTTCAGATCAAATGGGAGGAATTGCAGGGTGCCTTGGACCGATTCTCGGCGTTTTTCACCTGTCCGCGTTTCGACAACGCCTCCACCGAGAGGGAAATGAAAGCGGTGGATTCCGAGCACACCAATAATCTGCAGGATGATGTAAGGAAGGAGGAAGGAGTAGAGTGAAGGAGGAAGGAGTAGAGGAAGGGACTATGGCGGTGGGTCGCTCGGTGCATGGTTGGAAGGGCTTGGTCCCTCCCTTCTCCTTTCTCCACCTCGACCTCCCACTGAATCCTGCCTCCCTCCTCCCTCTACGCCTGCACCCTTTTTTCTTCCTCTCTTAAAAGGGATGGCGTCTCTTCCAGCTGCAGAAGTCCACCGCCCACCCCGAGCATCCTTTCCACAAGTTTGGATCAGGGAACCTGAGGACGCTTCTTCCCCCCCAAGGTAACGTGCCGCCTTGTCCGTCTTCCTCCTCCCTTCCACCCCTCCCCTCGCCCGCCCAGGAAGAGGCAGGACTGACGCACACCTACCGTGCACCTTACTCTCCCTGCTCCCTTCCTTCTATTCCCCCCCTGTTTTAGAAAAGGGTGGGATGGAGGCAACGCGCGAAGCCCTCCTTGCTTTCCATACCACGTACTACTCGGCGGACATCATGAAGCTCGCCATTGTCGGCCGGGAGGATTTGGACACGTTGCAGGTGCGTGGAGGAGGAAAGGGGGAGGGGTGGAGGATACAGGGAGGGTCCAAAGCGAGAGTAGGATGGCCGGGATCTGCTTCGACGGGGTGTGGGGCCACTCTCGTCAGCGCTGAATAGCTATGAAGGAACCCTTTTCCTTCTCCTCTCTCCCCTGTCCTTGGTCGACCTTGCTCCTTCGTGCTTTCTCTGGCTCTCGTTCGTGTTTGGATCCGATAATTTCGTTTCCATGCCGCGTCCTCTCCATTTATACTGTAGGAGTGGGCTGTACAGTTGTTTGCTGGCGTGAGAACGACCGGGCAGCCCTCGCATTTCCCATACCCGGTGGAAGCCTGGGATCCGAGCAGGTCAGAGGGGAGGAGGCGGGGAGGGAGGGCGAGGAAGACGGAGGAAGGAGGTTCACGGTTTGGGAGGGCGCAATTCTGAAGCGTCAAGGGAGGTTCATCTCCATGTTTGGAAAGTGCGATAAGCCGAAACTGATCCGCAAGGTATGGTTGCGTTGTGCGGCAGACTGCGATCGTCCGTGCGTCGTGGCGGTCTCTCGACGGTTGTGTCCTCGGTCCTAGCAGCATTGATGTCGAAAGTCTCTCTGCCTCATGGTGTGGGGGAGGCGACCAGCCGGGAGGAAAACGAGGGCGTTGCACCGTCCCTAACCCTCACCTTCCATGCGTCATGTGCACAGGCTCGGGACCCGGCTGGACGTGGTGCCGGTGAGGGAAATGCGCCGGCTCTCATTGGCCTGGCCCCTGCCCCACAATTGGGAGAAGCAACTGGCACTTCAGGTGCGTGAATAAAGGAATCGGGCGAGTATAGTCCCCGAACGATGTATGAGGACAAGGAGATGTAGAGCACGCTCTCAAGCCGCCCTCGTTCCCTTCCTCCCTTCCCTTCCCCGCCAGTCCTCAAAGCCGGCCCGCTACCTCGCCCATCTACTCGGTCACGAGGGGAAAGGCTCCCTCCACTCCTACCTGAACTCCCAGGGGTGGATCGAGAGCCTCTCTGCTGGATCCTCCGTGAAGACTGCGGACATGGATATGTTCAAGGTGGGAGGGAGGTTGGGAATCATGCTGTGCATCAGTTCCTGTTAAGGAGCGGCGAACGGCACAAATTGATCTTGCGCTCTGCTCTGACACCGCTCCTTGTCCCTTTCCCGCGCAAATGTTAACTTTTTCTCGGCCACCGCCAGGTTAGCCTCTCCTTGACGCAAGCGGGGATGGAGCACATCGAGGAGATCGTTGGCCTCGTGTATCAGTACCTGAAGGTAAATGCCCTCATCTTCCTCCATCTCGCCCCCCCCGCCTCCTCACATGTTTTTTTCTGTACCTTTTCTCTCTTCCTACTGACGCCCTTCCAGCTCCTGCGCTCGTCACCAGTCGACCGGAAAGTCTTTGAGGAGCTGAAGACGATGAGCGAAATAAAATTCTTGTTCCGCGAGAAGGAAAACGCCGTCGACTTTGCCAGCGGCAGTAAGTTTCCCAAGATGGGGAGCAGGGGAGAGGACCCCACGGTTTCGGAGTAGGATAGCAAGAGGGTGGCAGGCCTGTCTGTTGTCACTCGACCTTAAATGTACACTTTTTTATCGTCGCGTTCGCTCCGTCACCCCCTTCCTCCCTTCCTGCCAGTCTCTTCCATGATGCACGAGTACCCCCCCGAGAACATCCTCTGGGGACCCTACGCCCTGGATTGGGACGAGCAGGCCGTGAGAGACTACCTCTCGCTCCTCACTCCAGAGCGTATGCACTTGACCGTCGTATCTAAGGTAGGGGCGGAGGAAGGGAAGAGAAGAGGGAAAGAAAGGAAGGGAGGGAACAAGGGAAGGAAGGTAGAATACTCCGCGGTCTCATCATCATCATCATGGTCTCATCTCATCATTTCCCCTCCCATATCCCACAGGCATTCGAAGAGGAGGCGCAGAAGGAGGCATGGGCCAAGGAGAAATGGTACGGGACATTGCACAAATTGGAAAAACTGCCTGAGGTACGGAGAAGGGAGGAGTGAAGGAAGAGCGAGTGTTGACGGGTCTTCTTTGTCGAACATCATGATTAATCGCCCATTGTCTTGTGTTCCACTAACCGCTCCCGTAATATATACTGATATCAGGCAAAAGTAGCCGCCTGGTCGAATCCGCCAGAAATTCATCCAATGCTCAGCCTTCCTTCTCCCAATGAGTTCCTCCCCACGGACTTCTCGCTCATATGCGAGCAGCCCGCATACAAGGTAATCAAGGCTCTTCCCTCCCGTTCTCTCTCTCCCTTTCCCACCTTCTCTCCTTCCCTCAACTCAAAAATCCCTTTCTTTCTCCATTTCTTTTTCATTCCATCTGTCGTTTCCATCTGTTGTAGAGTACAATCTTCTCGTCAACACACGCCTGTCCTTCACTCACTCTCCTGCCCGCTTTTTTCTCCTTTACTCTCAGAGCCTCGCCCCGGACGACCCCGTCCATCCCTTTCCCCCCTCTCTCCTCTTTCCTTCCTCCGCGCAAGCCTTGCCTGCTTCCCTGCCTGCTTCCTCCCCTGAACGGGGGGTGAAGGTCTTCCACAAGCTCGACACAACATTCAAAGTACCCAAGGTCCAATTTTTTGCGCATCTGCTCAGCCGACAGGTAGGCAGGGATGGAAGGAGGGGCGACAGGTGTGATGGAGAGATAGAAGGAGAATAGATAAGGCGCGAGCGAGTGTAAGGATAAAGTTGAAAAATAGGCCACGAGGGTTACTCTTCCCGCCCCTCGCCAACGTCCTTCCTCTCTTTCCCTCCCTTGCGGTGCTGTAGTCGATGATGAATGCTTACAACATGGAATTACCGTCTGAACCACACCCCTTCCATTAAGGGGTTTCCATTCCCCTCTTCGGTGGGGGAACAGGAAGCTGAATGAGAGTTTTGCGGCTTGACTGAGACTACACACCCGGAGGCCCAGCACCCTCATGGATGCGCACCTCTTTCGCTTTGGACCCATTTCTCCTTCCCTCCCCTCCCCATTCCCCTTCCCTTGTCAGATCTACTCCTCTCCTCCCTCGGTGGTCCTCCACCGTTTGTACAACATGCTCCTGCGTGATGAACTCAACGAATTCGCCTACGAAGCCGCCATGGCCGGCCTGTCTTATTCTGTGACTACTCGCACCACTGGCTTGAGCGTCAAGGTATTCCCTTCAAGCCCCTCTCTTTGTCTGCCTCGTCCTTGCTTGCACCTTTATCATGGCAAGGAGAATTTCCCTGTAACCGTTTTCCCCTCCCTTCTTCCCTTCTCCCGTCTTCCAAGGTGTCTGGCTACTCGCACAAGCTCCCCGTGCTCCTCGAGAAAGTGGCGGGCAAAGCCAAAGGTTTGCTGCAGGAGATCAAAGACAAAGGCGCGAACGACCCGGAGGTGAGTAAGAAGTTTCTTCTCCGTCGGGCCCCTGCGGTCACCTCCTCGGCTAGGTCTTGTAATCTCTCCCATTGATCACCCACCCATGCACACGCAAAGCCTGCGTGCCACCAGCCCTTTCGTTGCTTGTCTGGTCAATATATACCGACCTTTGCCACTTCGTCCTCATTCTTTCTTCTTTCCTTTCTTCCTCTCTTCCCATGCCCCCGTCTGCCCCTCCAGATTCAGCAGAAGTTCAACAAGCACCGCCTCACCCTTCTACGAGAGTACATGAATTTTGATCGAGAAGCACCGTACGAGCGCGCTCTGTACAATACACGTCAAGTTTTAGGTACAGCCCCCCTCGCTTTCTCTTTTTGTCTATGCTGAGATGATTTCCGCCCGCGGACCTCTGGAGCTCGCACCGTGGCTTCCCCGCGCTAAGTGTCCTCCCTCTCTCCGTTCCTCTCTTTCCTCTTCTCCGCAGACGGCCAGGCTTGGCACCTTGCCCAGTACATCCAAGTCCTCAACGACCACTCCACTTGCAACGTGCAGGCGATGACTGACGTTGTCGAGGAGGGTGCGTGTTTGCCTCCGTCCCCCTCTTATTTCGACCCCTTTACGCCGCCAATTGTCTCTCTTTATTCATGTTTCAATGGCCTCTCACTTTCTTCACCCCTTGTCTCCCTCCCCTCTGTCCCCCCTTCATCCCGGCACTTTGTCTTTTTAAGGCATGGCTCGTCTGGATTGCGATGCCTATGCGCACGGGAACGTGAACGCTGAGGAGGCTCTGAGTTATTTCCAAACCCTCAAAGATGTACGTTTGATGAATTTGGAGGAGAAGGAGTTCTGCGTTGTGTAGGGAGAGCGAGAGGACAGTTTGATGAGGCATGTTTCTCCTCCATTGCTTCTGTACACAATGGCATGAAGAGAAGTATCAGAATGTAGCAAGGCGAAGAAGAGGGAGACACACTGACCTATCGCCACGTTGTCGTGGTCTTTCCTCTCTCTTCTTCCTCCTTTCTCCCTCCTTCCCCCCCTCCCTCCTTTTCTTCCTGTCTCGGGATGCTCAGTCCTGGGGATTTTCTCCCCTCTACGACGGAGAGCAGCCAGAGGAGAGGGCGGTGATGCTACACGCCAATAGCACATTGATTTATCAGACACCCGGCCCGAATCCGGAGGAGGACAACAGCGCCACCGAGGTTTACATTCAGTGTGGACCGACGCACTTGAGTGGAGGGGTGAGTCACGGACACGGGACGGGATGAAGGGAGGGAAGGAGGAAAGGAGGTTAGGGAAGAGGGCATCTTTTTTTTCCCTCCCTCTTTGGTGTGAAGTGAAGTGGAATGTGGTCGCAGGCGTGCTGCTCTATGGGTGAATACCAGTTTATTGACAACCCCATCGTACAATTCTCAGGACACAAAATCCGACGTCATCCTGGACGTACTTTCCCATATGGCCTCTACAAGTGCCTATCAAAGACTGCGAACGGAGCAGCAGCTTGGTTACATAGTGTTTGCCTTCCTGCGCCGCCTGAACGGGGGCCAGGGGTTGAGTGTGGTGGTCCAGTCGCCCTCCGCCTCGCCGCCCCAGTTGGATGGCTTCATTGAGGTGGGGAGGGACGGAATGGGCGCAGAAAAACCGGACTGTGGAAGCGTCAAAAAGGATTGTTTTCAAGATTTGATCGGTTGCTTTTGTGGAACGTGCATTCATGCGTATATTAAGGCTATGTTCTCATCACCCACAGGACTGGATGGCCGATTTCCGTGAGAAGGAGCTGGGGACACTCTCGGACGAAGATTTTGAGTCGCATCTGTTGGCGGTGGAGTCCATGAAGCTCGAGAAGGTGGGAACGAGGGGGAGAGAGATGAAGGGGATGGAAGAGAGGATGTGCGCAAAAATGGTGATTTTTCTTACTACATCCTTTTTGGATCACAGGACAAGAGGCTGAGCGAGGAGGCTTACCGGCACTGGGCTCAGATTGTCGAACGTCGTTATGACTTCTACCGAGAGAAGAGGTGCGCATTCCCCTCAGTCACCTTTTCCGCTTCCTCCCTTTTCGAATCCTGTGTTCCGTTATCCCTTCTCCATTGTCGTGAGTTCCAAGTTCCGCAGACCCGCCTTGTGCGTTCTCGCCGTGCCCCTCTACAAGTCACCTTACGCCTTCCCACGCGCTTTCGTCATTCCACCTGCAGAGAGGTTGCCGTTCTCCGCACGCTCACCAAAGAAGACTTGCTGTCTTTCTGGGATACCCACATCTCCGTGGCCACTGCCCCCGCCCGGAGAAAGCTGGCGGTGTACGTCCATTCCTCCAAGCATGCCAGCGACACATGCCGTCCTGATGTGTCGGAGACGGGGAAAGGCGTGATACTGGTGGAGTCGATGGAAGCCTTGCGGAAGCTGAAGCGGGGCTTGAGCTTATTTCCGGCGCCGGGAGAGGTGGAGTGGGAAGGACGCGGGTGAGGAGAAAGGAAGGTGTTGTTGGATGAAAAAAGAAAACTTGACGAGATCTTGTGTGTTTAGACTAGCGAGTAGTATATTGCGCAAAGCTTGTCAGAATGTAAGAAAGTAAAAGATGCAAGGTGAAGAATGATGACGCTTGATGCGTGTTCATGTAATGAACATTTCCTCTTGTATCAAGGTTGTCGAAGTGTTGCGTGATTTGGGAAAAAAATCACAAAAATACAGAAAAAAATGAGGTACTGAAGCCTCTCTAGCGAAAAAGTAACGCCAACCCGAGATAAGAATAAAGGTGGCGCATGGTCCTTGAAAGCCCTTCGCTGGATCGATATGTTTCTGGTTCCAAATTTCATTTTAAAATTGCTTCCTTCCCATGTGTATGGTTTGCTTGAACTATGCCTCGTCACACAACGCCTCCAAAAGCGCGCGGACCGCGGGAGGGACGGTTGGACTTGCTACCCCCTTCTTTTCTTTGGTTCTTTTTTTCTTCTCACCCAAAGACACTATGGCAGAGGATAGCTTCGCTAGGTCATCTGACCTAAGGTACCTGCAATAAAGGGATGGGAATGGCGGGAAGGCGAGATAGTTCAGCGGGTTTCAACATCGGAAAGGATGAGGTGAATACATAACGTTGCTCGTACAAACGAGCGCATCATCACAAGGGGAGAACACCGATGAGATTGGGAAGAAGGGTAAGCACAGTGAGAAAGAAGAACGTAGTGAAAAGAAGGGAAGCGAGTAGAGGTAGAGGAACAGGGGGACGAGAGACAGGGAGCTTCACGTACTTGGATAGGTAGATTAGAAGATGGAAGTCCGCTAGCTTGCTCAGAAGCTTCTTGTCGCGCGTCTCCAGCCATCTGTGTGGACCAAAGGCAAGGAAATAAAATCTCAGATGCGATCGCCCTCCCTCCCTCCTTCCTCGCTGCCCCTCCCGTCTGCCTTCCTATCCTACCTATTCCCTCTTTCTCGCCCCAGGAGGGCCGCTCGAAGATCCTCGTCGTCCTTCAGAGCCGGCAAGGCGTTTCGCACAATGGAGGATGCGATGGAGGGCGGCAGGGAGGACGGGGTGGAGTCAGGGGTGATGGCTAGAGGGAGGGTGAAGAGGGCCGCATCTACCTCCCGCCGTGTTTTCCCCGAGACAAAGACGTCGCTGGAGTCGCAAGGAGGGATACGAATGAGGGGGACATACACGGAAAAAATGACGTAATGTCACCACAGGACTCCCTCTCTCCCGTCGTCAGTCTGCGTTGCCCCCCTCCCTCCCCCCCTTCCTCCTCCCTTCCGTTGTCCCTCCCTTCCTCCCTTCCTCCCTCTCTCCCTCCCCACCCCCTAACCTCGTCGTGGACAGCAAAGCCCCCGCCCCCTCCGTCCTGAATCAATCCATCCCAGACCATCTGCACTCCCTGTGGTGAGACCTGAAATGCCTCGACAGGATGCTGTGTATCGAAGGCTGCGGAGGTGTTGACAGCCAGGGTCAGGAAGGCGGAGCCGAGGGAGGGCGGGGAGGAGGACACGGAGGCTTTCATGCTTTCGATCTGTGGGGTGATATTTACATGGATCATCATCGACTACCTACCTTTCTGTCTGTCTATCTACCTATCTATATGAATCATTGAACAACATCGACTCCCTACCTACCTACCTACCTACCTATCTATATATCTATCTATCTTTATGTTTCATGGAACATCATCGTCGGGCTGCGCTCCTTTCCTCTGTAGCCCATTTCGTGTCCCTCGCCATCTTTGGGTCGTTCCATAAAGACTCCTCATCTACCCTCCCTCCCTCCTTCCCTCCCTCCCTCCTTCCCTCCTTCCCTCCTTCCCTCCCTTCCTCCCTCCCTCCCTCCCTCCCTTCCTTGGGGCCCATCCACTTCATACCTGCAAGCGTGCCGCTATCACAACTTCCTGGCATTCAAAATTCGGCTTCCTCCCCGTCGTCCCTCCCTCCTTCCCGCCCTCCCTCCCTCCCTCCCTCCCTCCCTCCGGGCCTGGCCACGATCCAGCCAATAAGACCCCACCCAAAGCCGGCGGCAACGCGCGAGGCGCGTGCTAAGGTGGGATTTAGGAGTTCAGAGGAGGAAGGGGGCGAAGAAGGGGGGGAGGAGGGGCGGTGGGAATGATGGTGGAGCTGGTACAGGCCCCGGTCGTCGAGACAGCCGCCAG